CTGCGGGCGTAACTCCCGAGAGGGCCCGCGCAGCCGCACCAAGCACGCAAAATGCAGCGCCCGGGGAAAGGGAGGAGCATGGCGAGGCGATGCGCGGGCCGGCGAACGAGGAGGCCATCAGCATCAGCACAACTGCCGCGCCACCGATGTCCGTGCACCGCCTGCAGCTCGACGGAGACCCAGACGCACGCGCGGGAACGGGACGAGGATGGCGAGGGAAGGCGCGGGCAGGCGAATCGCCTGAAGACGTCGGCAGGGAAGACGGCTCGGCACGCCACGGCTCTCCAGCTCCCTGCCACGGCCGCCTCGGCCACATCGCCATCAGCACACACGACTGCCGCGCCACCAGTGCCCGTGCCCCGCTTGCAGCTCAGCGGAGACCCAGACGCAGGCGCGGGAACGGGACGAGGACGGCGGGGCGAGACGCGGACGAGCGAGGCATGAGAGGGGGGGGGGGGGGGCGTCGAGAGAGGTGGGATCGGACGGTGCGCCTCTCCTCTTCCTCTTCAGCCCATCCTGAGCTTCCTGCCCGATACTGCTCGTGATCGTGAGCGAGAGCGACAGGGGGGGACCGGCTCGGGGGGAAACGTCGACCTACTACCCTCGTCAAAATTGACCTCAACGGTTGCTGGCACGTCATTTCGACTTCGGCGCGCCCCCGATCTTCCGACAAGCAGTTCAACCACGTCAGATATGTTCGAGGTTAACTTTGACGAGGGCTGTAGACTCGGCGACACATCGCTGGTGGATTTGATCGGCGCTGGCCCCCCGAGGAAGAATCCGCGCGGCCCCAGGCGGGGTGGGCTCTCCGGCCACGGTCGGGAGGGGATGGGCGACCAGGGGTCGACGCATCCGCCCCTGAGCCTATCCCCCCTAACGTTGCCCACCTTCCTGTCAGATGTGTGTGTGTGTGTGTGTCCATGCATGCCCCTTGGGCGTCCAGACATGGATCGGCCGTGGGATCGGGGACACGAGGGTGCGACGGATCCTCGGGCAGGTCCTGGCTGCATCCGCCTGGAGTCGAGCCAGAATCGAACCTCTGTCGAAAAGACTTGCCAGGTGGGCCCCAGGGAAAGTTCCCCAAAAGGAACAGCTACTGTCGGGAACTGCTGGACAGCGTGGCACCACGGCGGGCCCTGCGACACGCTGTCCAAAAGCGTTCCGCCCCGCGTCCCCCCTGCAAGCGGATATAGCGATCTCGCTCCGCTCCGCCCCGCGGGGAGGCTGGAAAGGGCTCGGAGACCAGCGAGTGGATCACGTGGCGCTCCGAAACGTAGTGGGCCAGAACCGTCGGAGCGACAAACTGACCCAAAGCTCCCGACCGTAACCTGAGGTTTGTCGTCGTCGTCGTCGCGGGCGTCGTCGTCGCAGTGGCCGTCGTCGTCGTCGTGGTCGTCGTTGTCATTTTCGTCGTCGCAGTCGTCGTCGTCGCGGTCGTCGTCGTCGTCGTCGTCGTCGTCGTCGTCGTCGTCGTCGTCGTCGTCGTCGTCGTCGTGGTCGTCGTCGTTGTCGTCGTCGTCGTCGTCGTCGTCGTCGTGGTCGTCGTCGTCGGCGTCGCAGTCGTCGTCGTCGTCGTGGTCGTCGTTGTCGTCGTCGTCGTCGTCGTCGTCGTCGTCGTCGTGGTCGTCGTCGTCGTCGCAGTCGTCGTGCGAGACCTGGAGCGCTGCGCGGCACCTGCCGCTCCAGGCGGGCGGCATCGCCCCGCCGCTCCGCGCACCCCGTGCGCTCTCCCGCGAAGGATGGAGGAGGAGCAGGAGGAGGAGGAGGAGGAGGAGGAGGAGGAGGAGGAGGAGGAGGAGGAGGAGGAGGAGGAGCAGGAGGAGGAGGAGGAGGAGGAGGAGGAGGAGGAAGAGGGAGGAGGGGGGAGGGAGGAGGAGCAGGAGGAGGAGGAGGAGGAGGGAGGAGGAGGAGGGGGGGGACAGAGGGTGGGGCGCCGACGCCTTTTCGGTCGGGCATGTCCTCCGGCAGGTGGCCCGGGGGGAGGAGGAGGAGGAGGAAGAGGAGGAGGAATGCTATGGGAATGCTATGAGAGCGGACCTCTGTCCTCCACAAAATTACCCACCTATGGGGTTAGTCTGAGCTGCCTGAATCGCCTCCTCCTCCCACCGCCCCAAAAGATGAGCGGGGCGGCTCCCGTCGTAGAGCCTGTGCACTCCGAAGCGGTGCAGCACTCTCCTGGGCGGCGGGCCTTGCCTCCGCTGGGACGGGCGGTGGGGGAGGGGCGAGGGAGGGGCCCCCTGGCGCTTCACCCTCGCACGAACGACCGACGTGAGACGACACCACCCTCTCACGATCACGCGCCGCCATAGCCTCCACTACGGCTTGGGGGGGCCCCTCCCTCCTGGGATATATACCCTTGCGAATTCGAGTGAGGTTCTCGGTCCCCTTGGGGGTCAATCCCTCACATCGCTTGCTGATATGCCTACCATCTACCGTAGCGTAACGACCACACTTGCTGCAGGCATGCATGAACCACTTGTCCACATAAAACATAGCATGAGTTTCGTGAAACTCAGAAGGCCCCCGCCACGAAACTTCTGGGGGCCTGAATCACATCTGGGGGGCATCAGTCCCTCTGGGATGGCCCTGCCTGCACAAGGGGTGGCCGAGAACTTGAGCAGTCGAGAGCCTGGCACCACCTGATCACACACCGCACACCTCCAACCCGTGCCCGACTTCTCAAGGCGGTGGGCCGACTCTCGAACTGCTACCGCACACTTGTTAGCTGGGGGTCGCTTCGCAACCTCCTGCCTTCCATTCTTCGCTTGGACTTCTGCACTCGCTGAGTCGGCCAACGCTCGTCTCGCGCGCCGCCGCACTAAACTGGCAATGGCATCAATTCTATCTGTCCGCGGGTTCTCCCCAACCAAACCGAACTCCCAAGCCAGCTCCGCCCCCTCTCCCGCCCATATATCAGCTACCGCATTACCAACCGCAGTCTCTAACTGCAGCTCGGTAGTCAGCAGCTCAGGGGATTCATCCGTGTGAGAGGGTGTCCACTGCACTTCGACAGTGGCGGTATCTGGCCTAGAACTCCAGGACACGCGGGCCCTGGTCCACAAATCTTCATTAGCCCCAGTCGGGCTCGGGTTCTCCATTTTAAAACGCCACTTCTTAGCGACCGACAAGTGGTCAGTAACGAAAACGAGCGGCCCAGGGATCTCTTCTAACGCTAAACAAAACGCCTGGATCTCAGAGCGCGGGACGGTTTGGCGGGCTCCGAGCAGGGGACGGGCCAACGCCGCCTGGACAATCCATTCGCCCTGGGACCACCTCAGGGAGCAGATGGACGAGCCGCATCTCCTTCGTCTGGGGTCGTCCGAAAATCGCCCCCCCGAGCCGTCGCCGTAAACCTTTTAAACCCCGTCGCTTCCTCGAGAGGCCTCAAAGTCCCCCTCCCCGCCCAGCCTAAGCTCCCGCCCCTCCAGCCGCCCATCGTCAAAGAGGGGGTGAGTGAGGCGAGTAGGGGGGAGATCACGGAGCCATAAAGCTGGCTCAGCTTCTGCTTGTGCTAAAGCCGCAACTACCAAAGGCTCAGTTTTGCTATAATCGCTGTGATCAGTGTTCCTGGAACATTCCCATATTCTATGCTTCAAGCTCTCAGGGGCTTGCTTACATCTCGGGCAACCGACTGTTACTTCGTATCCTTTTTCCCTGCAGCGGGCTCTCGGCCACTGGCCGCCAGCGACCACCGTCGCGTTGAGCGCCAGCTGATCTAGCATCCCCTTGCGCTCGAACCTGCGCTGCTCCATTACTATGGGCCACAGGTCTCCGCCCTCCTGCAAGTTGTCACCAAACTCGTGCTTGGCAGCCTCCGTCCAGAGGTCCCTGCGTAGGTCGCCCTCCAGGTCGTCCAGGAGCTCCTGGAAGCAGCCCGTGGCCACGAACTTGCCGTCCTCGGAGGTCGGCAGCTCCCACATCTCCAACTTATCAGGTCCAGGTCGATGCCATTGAGTGGCTGTCGAGGGTGTCCATCCAGCATCCATTAGCGTTGCCATCAGAGCTCCTGTGGGGCCCCGTACAGCTCGCCATCTCTTGTCGCCATATCTGTGGAGACGCGCCTTGATGAACGGCCATGCTTTCGCAATTCGTCGATGGATGCGGGGAAACCTCTGCCACAGGCCTATCCATTCTCGTACCACACCCAGTCTGAGATCAACTGCGGGGTTTCTCAGGCCCAGCTCCATGCCCAGCGTGGTCGTCAGACATCGACCTCCTGCACTGCCTCCTGCCACTTTGCCCGCCTGCCTTCTCAGCACGGTGATCGCCTGCTTGGACATGCCGTACGTCTGCTGCCCATAGATCGCCTGCGGCAGTGCGCCCACGTTATAGAGGCCTTTGGACTCATGCTTCAGCGCAGCGATCTTCCTCAGCTTCACGATATTCGCGAATCTCCTCCTCGCCTTGAGCTGCCGCTGCTTACTCTTTGCTGCTACCCGCTTACGTCCTGCAGCAGTGTCCAGGCCCAGGTCCGTCGCCACGCCGCTGGCCTTAGCAGGTATGCCACGTATTCGTAATCGCTTAGCTGTCTTCCGGGCCTCCTTCAAGTCTGAGCCTATCACCGTGGTCTTATTCGATATGGTCATACGTTGTTCCACCAATCCAGTGCATATATCCGTCGACACCTCCAGCAGCTGCTCAGCCACCGTCTGTGAACTGCCCTCGCATCTTGCTACCGTGTCGTCCACGAACGTCCACAATCCTGCTGTTGGGTGTCTTCGATGCGCCAACTCAAGCACTGGATGAAGAAAAAGCTTCGCTAGAGTTACTCCTCTCGCGGATCCTGCCACCAGTGATCTGGTAGGCCAGATGGCCTCGCTGATGACAGATCGCTCCTGCAAGTATCTGGGTCCAAGAAAGATCATCGCTTCCAATCCGACTGCCACCGCAGGGAATCCTGCCGTACACGCAATCTGCAGTAAGATGACCAGCGAGACCGTGTCGTAGAACTTCTCTATATCCAACAACAATGTCATGGCCGAGGCGCCGATCTCTATGCC